CTCTCTCTCTCTCTCTCTCTCTCTCTCTCTCTCTCTCTCTCTCTCAGAAGTGGTAAGCTTGGGTGAGAAGAAGAAGAAGAAGAAGGAGAGGAAGAAGAAGAATAAAGGAAGAAGAAGAAGAAGAAGGGAAGAAGAAGAAGAAGGAGAAGAAGAAGAAGAAGGAGAAGAAGAAGAAGAAGAAGAAGAAGAAGAAGAAGAAGAAGAGAATGGGCACTTACCTCCGCGACGGGCGCTGCTGGCCACGGACGGCAACGGGCAACGCGCGACGGGAGCTGCTGGCGACGGCCACGGGCGACGACGAAAACGACGAGGACGGCGACGGGAGCTGCCACGGGCGACGACGACGACAGGAGCTGCCACGGGCGACGACGGCGATGGGCAACTCGTGACTGCCCTCCCTCCAACTCTGAAAGGCGGGAAAACGGGGAGGACTGCCCTCCCTCCAACTTTCAAAACGGCGGCCTCATCTGGGCCACCGATCTGCCTCGATCAGCGGTCCGGAGAGGCCGCCGTTTTGGAAGCACATAGGCGGGCCTGCGGTACTGGTTCGAATTTTTTTTTGGGCCAGGAGGCCCCCACAACCCGTGTGGGGACCTCCTGGCCCCAAAAAAAGTCGTTTCGGCCTTTTTTCTGTGATGCGCTGTAGGTCGCCGGGAGGCAACCGGACCGGTCGACCAGTCGGTCCCACCGGCCCGGTTCCGGTTGGGGGTGGAACCCCCGGTAGGACCTCCTGGCCTACGGGTTACATACACATATATATAGCCTTCGGGCAACATAGAACTATATATCTGTGTGGAAACTTTGTGTATGTAGCCCGTAGGCGATGTGTAGTTCAATGTTATGTCCGAAGGCGTGTATGCAGCCGGTAGGCGATATATAGTTCTATGTTATTGTCTGAAGGCTAAGGCTATGTGGGTATATATAGCCCATAGGCGATATATAATTCTATGTTATGTCCGAAGGCGATGTATACTCTATATATCCAAGAGAGAGAATGGGGTATGCTGGACAGGGACCCCCCCAAGGTCCGAACCAAGCTCGATCCCGTGACCTTGTAACGTATAATCGAATGACTGTACCATGTGACCAGTGGAAATGGCCCAAACGTGTGATTTGCCAGACTGGGGAGATCAACAGAACACCCAAGACCAACACCCCCAAGCAACCCATGTGAAAACCAGAACCAACATACAACACCATGAACAACCCTTGGGTGGTGTGCAGGCAGTGTCTGTAATAGCTAACCTGCATCATCCCAAAGGGTGTGTGTGTCCAGCAGTGCGTCATTCTAACGCCCTGCCGGTGTCCATGCGCAAGGCTGCGGATTTGAACCCGCAACCTTATACCACAAGGCGCATTTCCAACCGGTGCTCTAACCACTGAGCCACATCAACAGACAGACAGACTTGAGCGCTCTGGCGCCCCCTCTCACTTCGTCCTTTTACTCACACTTACCTTTTGTTTTCTCTTTTCGCTTTCTTCAAAGGCCTTAGCCTGTGGCATTATATTATACTCCAGGGCTTGAACTCATCATCTGTTTTTAATATTTTTTATCAGCATTTATAGGCCTGTAGTACCCCATCATTCAGCCACCAGTCCGGTATCACCTGGGCAATTGTGGCCAGTGCTATCTTTAGGATTCCGCTTTTGCATTTTAGTGATTGTGCGTCATCCATTCGTAGGGATCATAGGGGTCTGTACTCTATCCCTTCAATTTTAATAGATGTCCTAAAGGACAGAATTTTTTGTTTTTTTTTGTTTTGTCATCCTTACACAGGGACCATGCTAATCTTCTCTCATGCGTTCCAATTTAAACAGATGTCCTCAAATTTCCAATTATGCTTTTCATTTCCAATTCTGAGCTGATCTAGACTAGAATTGACTACAAATTGAAAGTGCTTTTCTGAGGCAGTAGCTGGCTTGATAGACTAAGTTAAACATTGAATTTCTTTTCTGGCGCCTTCGGGTGAAGAGGTGGGGATAGCCTGCCTCACTGCTGATGTATGAATCCAGGATACGGAACATTTATGAATGTTTGGGAAGCTGGACCTGGTTTCCAGCAGGTGCAGCTCCCCACGAATAGAATGGAGCCATTGAACCAAGAAAAAACAAAAAAAGAATGCCAAAGCCTCCTAGATGACAGACAGAACATTTTCTCAGGAGAAAGTCAGGCTGGATGGAAAGAAACCAATATATGTAAATCTCATATATATAAAATAAAAAAAAATAAAAAAACATAACAAAAGAAGTTAAAGAACGAATGGCAGGCGTGTCAGGTTTTGAGTTTCGAAAGACACAAAAAAACTAATATCAGCAGCACGTCTGTCGCAGCACGAGTTCTCACGGCGAAAAGAAACATAAAACGGCAGTCTGCACACGGCAGCCCCTCGCCTGCAAAAAAAAACCTGGCCCGCCTTTCAAGTGTTATTCTTGCCTTTCCAAACTCGGCGATGGACTGACCTGCCGGTACGTGTTCTTTTTTCCCTTCGAAACGTAAGCCACCACCATAGGTTATATGTACAACGTAGGCTTCCAGCCTGAGGGGCTCGTTCGACCCTCCTCGGGTCGTCCTCAGGCCCCGAGGACGATTCCTTGGAGTCGCCCGAGGAAATTCCCGCCTTCGTTCCACTGATCCTCGGAGACGTCCCCCGAGGACGATTCCTCGGGGCTCCCGCGGACAGATTTATATGTGTACAACCGGACGCGGGGGTGGGGCCGATGGTGGTCCATGGAGGTGTGTCTGTGCGGACGGCGTTGGTCCACCTTTGTTGGGCGTCGCGATTTCGAAAGACAGCGGATTTCGAAAGACAGCGGATTTCGAAAATGAAGGGCCATTGGAAAAGGCGCGCAGCCCCTCCATTCAAATTTGAAATTCGAATTTTCTCAATGCGAGTGGCGGCGCGTACAGGACGTCGTTTTTTGAATTTGACGGCAGCAGCGTCCAGCGTGAGGGGGCGTTTGCTTAAGTGACGATGTTGGTCGGCGGTTTCATTGTCGACGTTGTATGCACCTGTGTGCCTTCGAAGAAGCAGAGACGCCATCGACTTGTCACCATCATCGCAGGCTGACGCCCGTCGTCGTCGTGTGGCGTTCAGGGTTGTCTGGCGAGGCAGCGCTGTCTTCTTCCGTGTGGCGGTGTTTCGTGGAGTGTTGTTTTGATATTGAGGTCCATGTCCACTGAAGTGGCGTCGGGGATGGATATCGACGGCGAGGACGGTCGTGATGTGTTGACGACGGCGGAGAAGATGGTCGTCGCTGCCGCCGTCAATGTCGTCCTCTTCCGTTGCCAAATGGAAAGCAGCGAGGGGAAGTTGAAAGCGGTTGTTCGTGCACGGCACAAGCTGACGGCGCTGCCGACGACTGGCGATGGCTTCGACATTGGTGCCATTTCGGACGCCATCCTGCAGGTGTGCTACGCAATGGGGTGCGGCGCATTTCCACAGGCGACTCCAAGGTGGTGGATGAAGCGACGGACCGGGGATTCGTGGGAGGATCTGCGACAATGTGATGATGCCACAGTAGCTTACTTAAAGGAGAAGCTGCGAATGTCGCCACGTGTTTTCCGCGAGATCGCGGAAACTCTTTCTCCATACCTGCAACGTCGTGTGTCGTTCTACAGGGTGCCGTTACAGCCAGACCAAATCGTCGTGTACGCTCTGTATAGGTGGGCTTGGGGGTAGACACACAACAGCGGGACGTGCAGCTTCGGCATTGGCAGGTCTTCCGGCTTGACGGCGGTGTGGGACGTGACTGCTACGTTGCTGAGCGCGTACCCCAACAAGATATCCTGGCCCACTGGTTTGCAAAAGGCGGTCATCTTGCGCGCGTTCATCGAAAAGGGTTTTCCGAACTACCATGGGTGCATCGACTGCACCCACATCTACATCGACAAGCCCACCAATGCCAACGGTGAGGACTACTACGACAGGAAACGTCGATCCTCCGTCCATGCGCAAGTGGTCGTCGATATGAACTTGTGCGTGCTGGATGTGTTCGTTGATTATCCGGGAAGTTGCCACAACGTGAGGATCATCCACCTGTCGAGTTTATGGGCGCTCACAGAGGCAGGGGAACTTTTCACTGGGCCACTTGTCATGCTGCCTTTTGGTGTGCGGACGAACGGGTACTTGCTGGACGACAATGGTTATCCCCCCTCCGAGTGGATAGTCGTCCCATACGGCGGTCTCGCGCAACGCCCGTATGAGGCACGCTTCGGCAACAAACAGAAGACGATGAGGGGAGCAGTAGAGAGGGCGTTTGGCAGACCGAAGGGGATGTGGAGGTTGTTCCTCCGCAACCACAAGTGCAACATAGACACCTTGGCGCAGCAATTTGTCGCCGCCTGCATCCTGCACAACATATTGATCGACGCAGGCATCCCGTTTGACGACAATCTGCTGTGGGAGGTGGGTACGGACGGCGTGCGTCGTAGAGTTGATCTTAGGATACATCAGCGATTGAGGCCGGTGTGCATGGAGTCATCAACGGGGGATGCGCTAATCTTGAGGGATGAGCTGGCGGAGCGAATGATTGTGCAGTGAGGATGGCCATGCTTGCATATCGAGACCCCGCAATCACCCACATGTGGCGGAAGAACGGAGCAGACCGAAGCGGGGAGGCACCGAAGAGCTTATGCGGCGGGAAAGAAGGGGAGGTCCGCTTCCCCCATCCACTGTTGGTGCCGCATCGGAGAATGTTGCCCTCCAGTCTGTTGCCGTTGGGAAGTGCTTTTCTACTGTCGTCAGGCGCCGTGTTCATCATTCGGGTGTCATGTACTGTGTCGTCATTCCTGCTGCCGTCTTCTGTTTTCTGGCGGTATATTGGAGGTGTGGTAGCATCGGTGTGGGTCCGCGTGCACGACGCGTCTCTCGCGGCCAGTGTGTGTAGGTGTCTTCACTTGTGGCGGTAGTTTTTTTTTTTTTTTTCCTTGTGTATTAATTCAACGTAAAAGAGTACGTGGTCATCGAACACAATACATTGAGCGCTCGTCAAACACTTATATTCAAAATGAAAATGTTCGTTGATTAACTACATTTATTAGTCATGAACAACTAATCATCACTTTCGAACGTTTGTGCAATCCCGATAGAAACTTCAATATTTGCAGGGCATGTTATTTTTGACAGGTGATTACATGTGCTCTATTAATCTTCCAACACGATATTTCACGTACATTATGTTTTTTCCCCCCCCCTCAAACATGGCGTAGACGCTCAATGGATCGCATTTCACTCGTACGTCATAAGGGCATTCTATCCCAGTTCGAGAAAACATTTTTTATGCGAAATGGGTAACAAAAACATAGTTTAAGTATGCTTTGTCTCTATGTTGCGTCCATTCACCACACGTTGTCCTTCTATGACCTGCATTTTTGTGTTCTTATTGCATAAACATGACTTCATTGTTTTCATGGTCATGCATATGCATTATATATTTTTGTTTGTACTAGTAATGCTCTACACATGACCGTTGAATGTGAGCGAAATTGGAACAATGTTTTTTTTTATCGTACATCACAAAAATATCTTATAAGGGTTTAACTTTTTTTTTATTATGTGATTTGGGTACCATAAATTTCACGGGCGTCTGATATTTTTTTGACTTGCGTCTATTTACTGCATGTTTTCCTCTCATATCCTACATTTTGGTCATGACGCAATTGTTATCTAAACATTACTGTTCTCATTCCGTATGTGATCAACTTCTATTTGTGAAATGACGTACATTTTTTTCTGCATGTTGCTTTCTTGTACGAAATCTCGCTTATTGTTGACATTCTCGTTCAGAACACATGCGCTCTATGTACACTTCTCTTTATGCTGCTCTTTGAGTCAATATCGCTTTTTAGAAAATTATTAGGGGTGATGAATATCATGTCCTTCTTTAGGATCACACATTTCATTGTCTCTCAACGACCGAGAGCAAAAAAACAATATTTTGTTTTTGTGTCTCTGTCAATTTTTATATTTATTTGTCTGTGACTCTGTTTCTATATGTTCATCCATACGTGAAAAGCGCAATTAGTCATTAAATGCTTTTAAAGTTTCGTAATAGCTGCGCCTGTATGATCCTCTCCTCCCATTTCTCCCCACACTGGTAGCCCAAAGGGGTATGCATGTGATCATGCGTTATGTGAAAGTTTGTTAGTGTCTCTGTGCAAAGGTGCAGAGTGTTGAAGGCAAAATCCCATACCACAATGCGCATTGATAACCGGTGCCTTAACCACTGAGCCACAAACCACTAAACTAATTTTCTCTTTATGCAACGACCGAAAAAAAAAAAAAAAACACATATTTACGTGACATGGTAATCTTTTTAACAACTTTGATTTCACCCTGTTCTATTTCGATGTGATGTGTTTGTCGTTGAATCTTGCAGTGATCTCATTCATGGTTCCAATACACTTGCATACTCTACATGAAATTCTTATTTTTGTTGGGTGAAGAAAAGTGTTGTAGATGTAAGCCTCTGACTTTATTTCCTTTTTGTTTCTTTAAATACCAAAAAATGATAGACACAATGTTTCTTTTTTTTTCACTTAAATAAAAATGAAACAACCTGACCTGAACGTTGTGCAAGTTAGCAGTCATAGGGCCTCGCTCCACTTCACAACATTCCAGGGCAGATTTTGACACTTGCTTGACCTGATATACTCAAAATGTTTGAGTGGTCCGAATGCACCTAGGGGTGAAAATTGTCCAAATGCATGTAAGTGTTGTTTGGTGGAACAACGCTTATAGCGACATACCACTATAAGGAAGCATCCTCACTCTGCTCTAACTCTGCATTTTTGAATTTGGTTTTGCTCGTCGAGTTGGCAAAGCAACAAATTTTGAAGTCTTGCTCCCCTGTAACTTGGTAGCGATTTTGTTCGCAACTTCGTTTCTGAAGGTTAATAGCAAGTCGATTGAGTTGGGGGCCTGCGAAAAACAGAAATCGAGTCCACGGTCTTCAACATTAGATGTCGTCGTTTATTTATTATTGTCATCATCAATATCATAATCGCCATCATCATCATCATCATCATCATCATTACCATCATCAAATTTTGTGTATGCCAAAGTCATCTCTTCAAGTTGAAGGGGCCAGACAACGACAGTTGGGGCATAGTTGAAGGGGCCAGACAACGACGGTTGGGGCATAAAATTGATGATAGCCTGAAGATGTCTCTAGACCGCATGAAAACGTTTCAGGTGCTAAGTGGGTTAGTCTTCACCCTTACCATCCTTGTGTTCAGTCACTGTCCTTGCCTTAACTTATTCCTTTGTGTTTTAAGGTTCAAACTATGTGTCAGATATATGGCCCAGTACACTAGAAGATGCAACAAATACGACGCTAACAATCATGCGTTTTTTTCAGGGAAAGAAGGTGGAGATAGATAGATAGATAGATAGATAGATAGATAGATAGATAGATAGATAGATCGATAGATAGAGATAGATAGATAGATAGATAGATAGGTAGATAGATAGATAAATAGATAAATAGATAGATAGAGAGAGAGAGAGAGAGGGGGGGACACTATCTTTGTATCTCTCTCATCTATCTACAACGAACTCATGTAGTTAAGTAGGCCGCAAAGGTAATGTTGCGCACCGATATTTTTTGTTTTCCGTGAGTTCTAGCCTTCGGATTTTGGAACCAAGGGCGGGGATTGCACAAAACGAGCGTTCTCAGCAAGATGTGTCCGGGAATAGCTGATCGACTCATGGTTCTTTGTGGAATCAACTTTAAGTGCAAAAAAAATGTGTTGCGGCAGTCGATTGTCCGTTGTCGAAAGGTGTTTGTATGTGCTGAGGCAAACGTGGTTGTGGATCGTGTCAGAGGATCGGGTGGCCGTTTTCTTTTTGTCTTCATTCTCTTTCAGATTCTGGTGGGATATTTTTTTATTGCACTGTTTTTTTTTTTATCATCTGTTGTCGTTACTTGTTTTTTTCTTTTCTTGTCCTGTACCGGTATTACCGTGATTTTTTCTACTCCTATTTTTTTTGTCCGAGTCCTTTTTTGTTTCGGTTTCAGAAAGTGGGTCCGAATGTCCGAAGTGGGTAGTTATTTTTTTGTTTTTGCCAGACGGTCTCTCCAATCCTTTTGGGGACTCGCTGCAGTACTCGCCGAATGTGCAAAATGAGAACGAATCTTCCCCTAAAAAAAGTTTGTGTGGTAGTAGAGTGACTCAAAACCTGTCGTGCCGTGGTCGTGATCCCACGGTCAGTAATTTACATGTATTACCCCAAAAAGTACAAAGATCTTTGTTCCCATCCTCGTAGGCTTAACATGGGCACGCCGGTGCAAAGGAAGCTTTCCGCCAAAATATTTTCAAATCTTTGGGTTTATGGCCAACCCTGAAAGAGAGTCGGGTCGGCCATAGGCCCACTGGATAGAAGGTTTAAGTATTTTGCTTACTGTTTCCTAATTATCACATTGGGTGGAGCCCTCCTTCAATCACGGAGTATATAAAGGGCGTCATGATCACTGCTGACATAAGTCGAGTTTATTCCAGAAAAAATGTGGCAATTACTGTGTTTAATGTTATTGCTACCATCACCATCAGATTATTTTTTATCTGATGGTTGGAAAGCAGTCTGCCGTGATTTCCGGTGGGAGGTCTCTGTTTCTATTTTATTTTTGAGGGGTGTACGTTTATATCACATGGTCGTTTGTAATGGCCAAAAATAACACGAGTCTGCAACTTTGTGATGGCCTGAGTTTGAAAAGGCGGTTGTAACTCAGGTCGGCAGTAGTTTCAGGGTGACAGTTTCGTTAAGGGGATTGCGTTTTTTTTTTTAGGGGGGGGCATATTAATTTTTTGGCGTATTAATTTTCCGGTGTTTTTTCTTTTTTTTTTTGCGACTGTGGCCCATCACGGTCATGGCCAGCCGTGGGCGTGGCATACACACTGCGATCGTGGCCCAGCCACGGTTGTGGCTTACACATCGAGGGCGTGGCCCAGGCGTGGGCATGGCCTAGACATCGTGGTTGTGGCCGCCCAAAAAAACACAATAAATAAATAAATAAACTAGGCTACCAGCCGGGCCGCCCGGGTCCCGGGTGGCCAGCCGTGCAAGGATCAGGTAAGGTCCCAGCAAAAAAAAAAAAAAAAAAATCCAAAAATTATGAAAAAAACTATGTTATGCAGAAAAATAAACTGAACAACTTTTGCCTCAGGGTCACATCGAAATTCTTCACCAAATTTAAAATAACAAATAAAATTCAAACATATTTTATTTATTTTTATTTATTTTTTAATTATTTTGGCCCGGTCGGGCAAGTGACCCCGGGCCACTTTGGTAGCCTAGTAAATAAATAAATAAACTGATGCAAAAAAAAAAACAAATAAACAAACAAACCACAATCGCCTTAAGGGGACTGTCACCCTGACACCACTGTTGGTCTGAGTTACAACCGTCTTTTCAAACTCAAGCCATGACAAAGTTGTCGACAACATGTTTTTTTCTGTTGTCCGCCAACTCAAAACATGTCGCGTCCGACGTTGTTTTTTTATTGACGGGTGTATGTTTATGTCACATAAGAGTTTGTAATGGCCGGAAATAACACGAGTCATTACTTTGTCAATGCCTGAGTTTGAAAAGACGGTTGTAACTCAGGGCGGCAGTGGTGTCAAGGTGGCAG